AACGCAGACGACACGCAGACGAAATCCGTTGGCAGCACAAACACCGTCGTTAGGTAGACCCGTTTTTTTTTTTTTTTTTTTTTTACTTTAAGTTTTGTTTTATTGGCCGTATCTATGTTTTAACCAAAGGTACATTTCAAAAAGATTATGTTCATTTTAACAAAACCACGGTGGTCTCGAGCCGTCACGATAAGGAGGTAGCGGCCTCAATCAATTCGAAAGCCAAACACACCCCGCTACTGGACTTGGTCGTCTGCGTCACCACCCGTCGCAGACCCGGCAAGTTTCTTGGCCTTATTTTCTACAGAGAGCTACGCTTCGTAATTTTACAAGAAGAATACCGACCTGTGAAATACACCTTTGACGAAAAGTTTCTATTGCTACGTGCAGGCGTCGATTTCTACGGTTCATTTTAGATCGAGCCTGGTGACTTGGGTCACCCTATAGTACGTAATCTTACCTTAACATGAGCTAACTGTAAAGGGTAAAAGGGCGAGCTCCTTGCTTTTGGTCGCGCCTCGGGTGCACGCGCACTTGTGCAGTGGGAGCAACAGTCGAAGCTATCCGTCGCGCTTGGAGCCTTTATGGTCAGTCTTTGTGAAGATGAGAAGGCGCATAGTGATATTATCATCAGATAGGTTGTAAAATGCCAACGTCCCGACCTATTCGGGTGGAATTCCCGACTAAAAACAAAAACAAAAACATTCACGCGCGTCATAGGAACAAATAAAGTGAATCGAGCGGCTCATTTGAAATACCCGAGGGAAACCGGGTTTGCTTTCACAGGAGCGCCTGTCAACCCAAAGTACTCGGTAATATTCGAGTCTGTTACTTCCGGGTGCCGACAAGGTTGTTTCATGTCGACCGACAATAAGTTGCGGTTGTTGTTTGCGGGTTTATGTTGCAAAAGCAGCGACGATCGTATTGGGCAGTGTTCGAGGCGGGGTTTGAGCCGCACGTCCGGAAGCTTCCTGGCTCGAGACGACGTCCATTCCCCGAAGTGAAGAACCCAGGGGTTCAGTGGAGGTGGGAGACTTGGTAACGTAACGAACGGTTTAATTACATGGTAGCGATACAGTCGTCAAATCCGAGAGAACAACGGAGCAGCCTCGCGCTCCGCCTTATATAGGGTCCGTTTCTCCCTCACTCTCCGCCAGGGCAGCAGGTGCGATGCAGCCACCCGCCGTCAAGTGCGATGCAACAAAGTCCGCCGTCCAGTGCGACGTAGCCAAAGTTCTCCGCAGTTAGGCCATGCCTCTCTCCCTTTCCCGAGCGCACCAACCACCACGCACACACACACGTCCCGCTAACGTCACGGGCGCGTTGAGACTTGTTGCCGCAGGCCCCGTCACGCAGGCGACGGTCCCGGACTCGTCGGGACTCGTTTCGCGCAGGCCCCGACAAGCGGGCGACGGTCCCGGACTCGTCTTGACTCGTTTCCGCAGCGTTGAAACTCGGAAGAAGGTCGCCGAAGGTTCCATTCTTAACAGCCCCTCCGGGGCCAGGGAAACCTCGAATGGCCGGTGATACTATCGCTGGCCTGAAGAGGTGCGCTTGGAGTAGGCCTTGAGAAGATGCTGCAAGCACTAAGCAAACTCCCAAACCTCTCACAACGGAGGCATCAGCAGAAACGTCCCCCACAACACCACGCCACACCGCAGTCAAACGCTCGGAATCCGCCAGAGACCCGCCAGACTGGATTACGGATTACCAAAATTTGCCAAAACAATGCAATTTAAAACCTTAGGACAATTTCGGGTATCGAGACCCGCTGTCGCCAAAGCAAAACTCATTTTTCCAACGAGGTCACTATGAACAAAATACAAAAAGACAAAACTTCGCAATTTGTGAGGTCATTTTGGGGTTTTAACGAAGTGTCCCCACTTTGATCCTCATTCCCGTGGATGACGAAAACCTCTGAGATCATCCCTACTCTTTTTGGTGATATCAGAAAAATCTGCTCAACCCATCGGCATTGCTGTTAAATTTGCCTTTCCTTTTTCTTACGCTGAAGTCATAGTGATCGATTTTCACGTGATTTCTAGACGTGAAAATGCGGTCCTTATAGCGCCGATAAAACAATCCGCCTTTTTCATGCCCCGTCACATTGATCCTGGCAATCTCCTGAGCTGTACCGCGAAACCCTGACACACTAGGGTCGCTCTTCTGCTCGACTGTCAAAGACGCTCTGTCTACTCGTAACGGAGGACCAAAGTTACGTGACGCCGGAGCTACGAGAGATCCTCTAATGATCCCGTCTTCCTCCGCCTTTTTCGCCGGCGCGTTGGGACGGCGTACGCTTTCTAGTGCTACGAGGTCGGGCTGTTCTACAACCCGGACCCCCTCATTCCGTTTCTCTGTCTCCAACTCTGGGAGTGCTTGCTCCCCGTCAGCTGCCTTTCGCTCTGGATCACTCGTTAACAAAGGGGCGAGCTGACGCGATTTGGACCTCGTACACGACTGAACTAGTCCTCCTCCCAGTTGTTGACCCCTTTCGCGCAGCAAGAAATCTGACCGGTTAGAAAACAAATAGGGATACTCCGACGGGACTGTTTGCGAGACAGCCGCCTCTGTCACTAGCTCTCCGAACGGGCCAGTTATCCTTACTCTCGCCATAGGCAGACAGACACTGTGCTTCTCGAGCAGCTGCTTGATCCAAACTACCTTTCCAGTAAAGTCGGATGTCGTTACATACGACGGATGAACAACGTCCATCGTCGCTGCACTGTCACGAAGCACCCTGCACGGCTTTCCGTTTACCTGGAGCTCGTGAAGATAGGGACGAAGAAGCTCCAGGTCTCCGTCACTACCGCTCACGTACGAGAACACAACCCGCGGTTTGTTACACCTGGCCGCTGTGTGTCCCGGCTCCTGACAGTTGTAGCACAGGAACGGCTTCCTTGCCTCGAACTGCCCTTTTTGGCTTTTCCGTGCCTCGTCTCCGTTCGAGGGATCTCCGTTCGAGGGATCTCCGTTCGAGGGATCTCCGCTCGAGGGATCTCCGCTCTTTTCTGGGACCTTTTGTCCTGTTTCTGGCTTCTCGGGCCTTTTTTCTCGCGAACCGTTTCCCTGTCGGAAGGGCTTGCGCTGATCGCTCCGGCCGGGTTCGCTGTCCTCTCCGCTCAGCTTTCTACGCGTTGCGTACTCTTCGGCTAGCTCAGCGGCCCTTTCGACAGAGTCGACTCCCACCCTATCCTGCACCCAGAGCTTGACTGACTGCGGAATGCTACGAAAGAACTGTTCGAGGCACACGCACTCGACTACCTTGTCTCGGCTTTCGTACACTTCCTCGCTCTTCAACCATTCTATCAAGTTGGTTTTAAGCGCGTACGCGAATTCCGAGTAGCCCTCGCTGCTCTTTTTGGATGCGTTTCTAAACCTTTGACGGAACGCCTCGGCAGAAAGGCGATACCGCTTCAAAAGGCTCGACTTCACCTTGTCGTAGTCGTCCGCGTCTATAGTACTAAGGCGCGCGACAACCTCTGCAGCCTCACAGGGCAACAAAGTCAAAAGCCGTTGCGGCCACGTTTCTGGGGCGAAGCTCAACTTCTCACATGTCCTCTCAAAGTTAACTAAGAATAGGCCCACGTCTTCCCCAACTTTAAACGGCTGCAGGAGCTTCTTCATTTGATACGACTCGGCCTCACTTGCTCGTACCGGAGCCCCAACTCTACTGTTCTGCGAGTTTAATCGCTGTTGTTCAATTTCGAGCTCTAGCCTTTTTAGCGCTCGTTCCTCTGCCGCTGCAGCCTGCTCCTGTTCTCGTTCCTCTTTCGCTGCAGCTTGCGCTCGTTCCTCTCTCGCTGCAGCCTGCTCCTGCTCTCGTTTCTCTCTCGCCGCAGCTTCACTTTTAGCGTTCTGAAGTAATTCCCACGCAATTTTAATATCTTCTGCTTCCGCGCTCTCTGAAATTGCTTTACTGATCTCAGATTTCTTCATCTTCTGCTCCACCTCCACACCCAATTCTTCACATAAACAGAGTAAATCTGTTCTCAGTAACCTCATTAGATCCATGATCGCTGCTTCTTAGCTTTGGCTTTGTTCTAAAACTTGTCGCGAGGTTGTACAAAAACCTAGCGCACGAGTCAAACACTAAGGATTCCCAGCAGTTCAAAATTAATTACCCATAATCTGAAGCCTGGCGAATCTCAAAGCAAAGTCCAAACGCTCACCCACAGATGTAGCACGATGTCGCATGGTCCGATCCCAACTGCTGCCAACCAGTTGTTCGAGGCGGGGTTTGAGCCGCACGTCCGGAAGCTTCCTGGCTCGAGACGACGTCCATTCCCCGAAGTGAAGAACCCAGGGGTTCAGTGGAGGTGGGAGACTTGGTAACGTAACGAACGGTTTAATTACATGGTAGCGATACAGTCGTCAAATCCGAGAGAACAACGGAGCAGCCTCGCGCTCCGCCTTATATAGGGTCCGTTTCTCCCTCACTCTCCGCCAGGGCAGCAGGTGCGATGCAGCCACCCGCCGTCAAGTGCGATGCAACAAAGTCCGCCGTCCAGTGCGACGTAGCCAAAGTTCTCCGCAGTTAGGCCATGCCTCTCTCCCTTTCCCGAGCGCACCAACCACCACGCACACACACACGTCCCGCTAACGTCACGGGCGCGTTGAGACTTGTTGCCGCAGGCCCCGTCACGCAGGCGACGGTCCCGGACTCGTCGGGACTCGTTTCGCGCAGGCCCCGACAAGCGGGCGACGGTCCCGGACTCGTCTTGACTCGTTTCCGCAGCGTTGAAACTCGGAAGAAGGTCGCCGAAGGTTCCATTCTTAACAGCAGCAAACACAGTGTTAGCTGTTTCTCAGCATGCGCTGTAAACAACGCCCTCAACTCGTCCGGTGAAGGGATGTTGACAGCTGTCACTTAATATGTAGTTCAAGCTGCTGGACTCTTTCGCGCGCTAGAAAGTGCGACATTAACGCACGCACGCTTTTTTTTTTATTATTTGTGCGCATTGATTGACATTTACATCTTCTCGATGTCTCTGTTGCAGATTAAATCGGAGGAGAAATGCCCAACCACAGCAAGCGGACAACCAAAATTCCTGGAAGACTTCTGCCGGGATCTACGCCGGTTTATCCGGATTGCCCGCCTGGCTCAGTGCAGCCCCACGTTCGGTTTCCTGTCGTATTCGTCCAACCCGAAGGACGAAAAGGCTGGTGCGTGGACCTCAGCCTACGTCATGATCCGCCAAAAAGACAAAAGGTCAAACAGCGCGCAAAAACAGGGACAAGGTAAAGAAGTGCACAGACACGCGCAGTTGAGAGTTAGCGCTTGTACTGTGCGCACTTTCTTACCTTGTCCGTTTTTTGCGCTGTTTGCCCTTTAGCTATCATGAACCAACTACCCCACATTGCCACCCTGAAGATCGCAGACTTCAGTTTTAGGTTGAAACGTTTCATCGGTTTCAGGTTATTCGCCAAGCTGTGGGAAAGATTAGTCGCAAATATTAGCGTTTTCTTTGAAACTCCCCCATTTATGATGAGTCATCTTTTAATCCTTCTATCCACCGTCAAGAGTGAGCGCTGCATTGGGCCCCCGCGGGCGAGCAGCTTAGAAAAAGTGTCTAACCTGTTTTGCTAGCGACACTGCGTCACCATTGTGTATGTGGAATCACTCGTCCTTCCCAATAGGTAGTTTTAGCATAGCGTTACCGACGTCACAGCTATCGCTGTGACTTTGAAACATGCTCTTCAACGCGTATCAAGCGGTAACGCTCTGCTAAAACTGCCTATTAGAAGGGAGTTTTCGTATCTCGTTTCCGCTGTCCCGCAACGCTTTCCGCAACCCGCTACGATACCCGAAACCCTACAGTTGAGGCAATCGGCACGCAGGCAGAGTAGTGGCTTCTTCGTTGCGGAGGGATTAGCGAAAGAAGAAACGCCGTCTACGAAAACTCCCTAGAGAGTCTCAACACAGTGTTCCGGTGCGTGTGTAACGCGTCCTAGAGAGTCTCAACACAGTGTTCCGGGAATGCGCCGTCAAAGGAAACGTCTGCGTCCGTCTGTTCCCCAGCAGCGCAGCATAAGATGACGGATGACTGAAATGTTTTCTTTGTGGTTGGCTTTCTTCTCAGTTCGGCTATGGCGGTAACAGCAACTGTATGACGGTAGGGCTATGCTACAATCCTGGTTACTATGGGGCGTAAAGGCCCCTGAATAATGGCGAATTCGACAGGTCGTTTTGATGCGCGCCTATTTCACTGGGCGATCGGGATCGAGTCTGACGTGTTCCACTCATCGTTTTGGATCACATCCCACTCCCCAGAGCTCGTTCCGAATCTAAAAAAAGTCGCTCCGCTAATTTCGGCGGGTTCGACCGGAAGCCAGCGTGGCCCGCCCTCGGCGCGCACTGTCTTTCTCGCCGGGCATTTCGCCTCGGAAGAATTCGTAATGGACGCTCGCCAAGTGCCGCCCGCTTTGCGGCTGCTGCTACTTGATGACAGTTCGTCGTTAAGTTGCTCAAGCAGCTCCTCCAGAAGCAGCGGCTCGAGTAGCAGTGGAGAGGATTGCTTGTATATCCCGTATGAATTCGAGTGCCTTTACGGACCTCCGCAGAAGAGGCCGAAACTCGAGACGTACTTGGACACCGTTCCCGAGTATTCCGATGAAGAGGCAACTGGGCTACGCTGATGATGCCCATCGCTTATCGACACGTATCTTTCCCATCATGATGAACTTAGCTCGTGCGCTGAACACCTGTTGTTAGCGCCGCGATTGCGAAAACATGCGCTTCGAGATCCGGGGCCGCGAAAAAGGGATTGCCGGGAAGGTGAATGACGGGAAGGCATCCGCCGATCCCGGACGGAGGAGTTGTCATGTCCCATTGGCGATCCGGAGGCGGAGCGACCCCGTTCGGATCGGGTGCTCCAGCTCGAATCTGGTCCACTGATCCCGGCGCGCTCCAAAACGACCGGTGGAATTCGCCATAAGAAAGATAGCGACATCGCCTCACTTCTCCTCTGGCCCGTACATTCTATATCTTTATTTCTAGGTCTTTCGAAACCACGCGCCGACGGTAGCACCGCCTGCTCCACTTCAGGATAGCAGGCAGTCTGCGCACATGGTTTCAGCTTAAGTCAGAGCGCAATCAAAGCGACACGCAAGCAAGTGCACTGTCACGGTGTATTTCGGCGTTCAACAGACCCTTTTCAAAAGTGAGCGCCATTGCCTGTCAGCCGTTGTTTGGGAACGTACTCTGAGCCCGTATTGAGCACGAGGGCTAAGTCAGCATTCCGCGAGAAACGGTACCACACGCTTTGTTCTCCTTTGTTCCCAAGAAATGGCGACCGCCAATGTTGCTCGATGGGATATTGAAAAGCTCTATTAAATGGGCCGCAAAGCACCTGCTCGAAGAAAAAGCCGCGTCGTTTCACCATTGCTGTTACTTGGTTGGTGACATGGGCTTCTCGCGTCCACTGCGCTCCTACAGCATAGGCCTTCCTCCTCCGTCCTGCGCACTCTTTTATCTTTCGCACTCGCACGTCGACGCCGCCTGGATCGCTACGATGCGGCGCTGTACGGTCAGCTCGCTTTCAGATCACATCAGCTGTCATTGTTGTGGTCTTGCAACAGAGCGCGCACTTTTTGCCGTGTACATTTCGCACTGCCGAGTTTGCTCTCCTCGGCGAAAATAAGTTGCAATGACTGGCAGTATTGCGTGCGATGAAGTTACGTGCAAGCCGTGTACAGGGAACGCCACCTAAAATATTCAAAGACCGTGACACAGTCTTTGAACATCATCACGCTAGGATGGCGCCAATGGGGGACCCGACGCCGTTCGGCCTTCGATGCCTTCATTGGACATGACGCCTAAACCAATGCTGGCACGGCATCCTCGTCCAAACCGTTTGCGCTACATCTTCATGCGATGATGTCGAAACGCTAGTGCACGGGCTTCCATTGTTCCATATTTCGTTCCATCATATGTCCGAGCTTAGTCGAACGCACAAGCAACTACAACCAAGAACACGCACTGGGCCTTCCGTGTACTTCAGTCATTTAGCGATGATAAACCCGCAAGAACATGAACACCATGTGGTTCGCTTTGACGCTGTTTGATTGGTCCCATCGGCGTCGGCTGAGTCCGGCATTAAGGTGTTGGTACAGAGACTGGAGCACGTATCCGACTGGTGTGTTGACCGCGTCAATCGTCCCTCGATTTTCTAATGATGACGTCATAAAAGTGTCACGCCGTCGCCGGCCACGATCCTGGCGATGTCGGCAGCTCTGGTGGACATAGAGTTATTATATTGTACGCTAGAGGTTCCAGTGGCGCTAGTGTGCTGACGCAAATTGAAGCAGACAGCAACCAGTCGAAAATTGACTTCCGGTAATGCATTTCTATGGGAAAAAGTGAGTGCATTTTCTCCCTGCGCTCGTTCATAAGAGCAAATATTCCGAATAATTCGTACGTACTAGGTAGATTAAAACATTTCTCAGTCAGGCCGACGAACTAACGAACTAATTGGTCAGTTACGGTGTAATTTCTTTCAAAATTATCGCATTAAAAACGGTGCTAAAACGGCTTCGTACGTTTATTTATGTGAACTGTCGGACACTGTTAGCGCGAACACGGCGTCGGCGCTTTTCAGCATGAGGGATATACGTGCCAAACGAACGAAGGATATCTGGAAATTAAGGAAGACGGCAATAACTACGCAGTAATACTGGATCAGTAACTACCCGCGCATGTACGATCAAAATTAATTGAAGGCCACGTAATATATTCCGATTTTAAAAAAGTAAGTACTGCTTTCTTCTTTCTGCCCTGTGCGAAGATGCTTGTTCTACAATGGAAACATCACCCGCACGCTCGAAATATTTGAGAACAAGTCCCCGATAAAAGCTACCCGGCAGAGAAAACAATAAAAGAGATACCTTTCATGGCCAACGTACTTTGTTTTTTTACGTTTTGAATGTTTTTATCCGCTCATGCACAGCTGGGTTATTTTCATACAGTGACAGGACTGGAATATTAGCAATATATAAGCGTCACCGGAATGCTGGCGAACTTTGCTTTGAACACACTCTACATTCCTTTCGATCGTTATTTTGCTTTGAATCGTCGCTCGTTTTTACACACCTGCTGCGGAAAACATGTTTGGAACTGAAATGTAGCGAAGTTAAACATCGGTCACTGATGAAGAAGAATGTGCTAACTCAAGTAATTACACTTTTACAATGTTAATCAAGGTACATACTATTCGGTATAACCCAAATAACCAGAGTGCTTCGTGTTATTTTCCAGCGAAGAGACAAAATGCACGCGCGTTTTCCCATAGGAATGCAGAGGAGCACCGCAAAAATAGACTGGTCGCTGTCTGCTTCAATTTGCGTCCCGGAAGTCGCACAGACACTAGCGCCAGTTGAACCTCTAGCGTAGTTTAACAACTCTATGGTGGTGGATGTGGCGGACGCCTGTTCTGCTGCAGGTCGCTCTCCAGTTCGACAGTCCACGGAAGCAAATTGAAAGTTGGAACGCTGCGACGACAGCCACACTTGCGTAGACTCTTACTTTTTTGCCGGGACGTCTAGCACAAACCGCCAGGATGGCGACATTCGACCGCGTGACAATTAGGCTGGCTTCGGCCTTCCATCGCTTAGCAGTAGGAGAAAAACCAAGCGTTTAAAACTTATCTTTATGATTCTTAATGACCTTGTTTTTATTGACAAAGCATCTTATATTACACCTCACCAATTTAGAATTTCAAGAAACAAACATAGTCGACATATACAAGAATACAGATATAACAAGGAATGTTTTAAAAATTCTTGTTTTCCACGCACAATACGCGAGTGGAATTCCCTGCCGGAAAGTATGGTGGCATGTCAAGATGCAGAAAAGTTCTTTTCTTCATTAAGTATGTTTCTAGATCTTTAGGTATATTGGCATGATCTGTATGTGAGTGAACGGGTGTGCTTTTGAACCATGTGTACCATTGTTGAATTGTTCTTCTTTTCCACTCCTGTAAGCAGTAAGAGTCCCGACTCGGGACTGACAGTATGTGAAATAACGTCTTTTGTTGCCACTTTTGGCGTGTGGCTGAGAAAGGACGCTAAACACACGGGGTGCAAAGGACGGGCGTCGTCTTTCCCGCAGTTGTCCAGCAGGTGCAGAGGCAGCTGTCCCCAAGCTGTGTGGTTGTGTACCACCGGTCCAAAACTATCACTATGCGGGCCCGGGACGACCCTACCCAGGCGTGCAGTGTGTACCGGGGAATAACGGGTGCCTTCCTGTTCGGACGGCGTACGGAGGGGCCTGCCAGCCCTGCGTCGGCGGGGCCCGTTGCCCCGGCATCTCGCCTGCCGGAGTACCGGCGCCGGTCCAGCTTCCGGCGCAGCCGCCTGGAAAAGCTGTCCAAGTTGTTCCAGCGCGCTGTGCTGCGACGCCCGGCGGACGACCCCTGTCTCCGCAATGTGGCCCCGGGTGTCATGCTCTTCCACTCCTTCCGTATCCCCATGGAGGTGAGCCGGGCTCGCCTTTCTTCCCAGTCTCTACCAGTGTGGGACGCAACGGCGTTCCAAGGAACCGCGTTTTTGGAACGCCTTCCCTTCAAGAGGAACGTCGCCGTTCCTTCTTGAATCGGTGGAACTAGAACGCCCTGCTGTTACGTGCTCAAGGGGACAGCACGAGGAACGGCGTTCTTTCTTTCTTTTCTTTTTTTTTTTGTATTTTTATCTGCAAGTTTACCCGAATTCGTACCTTTCTAACCCCTGGAACTTGTAGCGGGAACCCGTTTTAAGAATAAAAGGGAACGAGGAACGTGCACACCACTGGTCTCCGCCACCAAAAGAAGGGAATCGTTTTGGTTTTGTTGACACTTGTTGCACACTCTGCCGTTTGGCGCGGCTGGTGACGTCGGTTCTCTCCATGGGACAGTTAATGCTTTCGCAATAATAAATTCTGGTTGTGAACACGTCGGCAACTTGAGTAGGGGCATTTAGCTACGCGCAAATCTGCGTTTTTGTGACAAAAGTGGTGGACGCTTTTCTGCGCGTTGTTTCGTGTCTTCTTTCTCGGGTTTGTCTTTCTGACGAGTGTATTCGCGACTCCAGCAAAACGGAAGGCACCTAGAAGAAAAGCACAGAACTCGCCGGAACAGGCACTTTCCCGATTTCTGCTCGTCTATAATGGCTTCCATGATTGCACATTGTCGGTGGTTTGGGCGATAGAAGAGTTGTCCCGGTGAATCTGTCGTAACAGCTCGTTCCCAGGTTGCTCTGCAGGCAACCTGCACAACCGCGTGAACCAGACATTCCGCGTTTATGAACTTTCATCAGCACCGTGGAAGTACAGTAGGCGTCGTTTCATCGCTTTCTCAAAAAGTGTCAAGAGCCTGGAAGCTCGCTTACCCAAACACTTCGCCCCAGGTTCGAAACGTGGAGGACAAAAAGCGAGGTAAACCATTTTGAGTCCAGTGCTTGCTTGCTGATGTCCCAGTGTTATGCGTTGAGCTGGCACATGTCACGGCATGACCAGTATTAGAACGCCATATTTGCCCGATAGTCGCGTCCCCTATACGTCGCCGGAGCTGCGAATAGTCTCATGGGTGAACCTTTTATCATTACTAATGATTTCAATTTTGTGCTACGGAGACTACATATGTTGGTGCACACACTTGCGACTGTTTACGACCGTGTTCCTTAAATGGGTGCGGAAACGAAATGTTTTCACTTATTTCTTTGTTTAGATCTATTTTATGTTGTGCCGGTAGATAAGAAACGCTAGTCTAGAGAAATGTTTCTTGTCTGCCGGCAGAAAAGTCATGAAAATTATTTTAATACGATTTAACAGATGTTAACATTGCGTCTGGTGGCGGTCTGCGAAGCTCCGTTGGAAAACCGCCCGGTCATTACTTCTTTAAAAGCAGAGCCACTTCGCGGCAGTATGGCTCGCTCGTTCAGTTACTTAGCACTCAATGTGACTCGGCGGAGAACGCCAACGCGTTTAATACTTTGTATATGTTAAAGCTATCCCGGTGTTTCCGCAAGGGGCATTCCATGCCATCAAGATCGCCGTTCTTTGCAGACTTTGGGTACCAGGCCAACCATATCCAATCCCCCCCCCCTCCCCGGATGCCCTATGAATGACGCGCTAAAATATGGCAACCAGTGAATACCTTTATACATAGCTTGCAGGTGTCGCCGATTGCTGGGTATACTTACGGTTATTTCTACTTACATGTTTCGTCGACTAGTACTTCTGAGGTGTGAAACTAAAACGGTGAACCGAACGCTCGCGGCACGTAAAGAACCGGCTTGGCTGCAAATGACGCTACGGGCAAGCTACGTATAGCCCAGGGGGCGTACAATCCTCGGATACTACGACTAGGCGAGATTGACAGACTTTGACACTACCAAGCGGCAACGCTCGCAACTGCAGTACCGCTGGCCGTGCAAGAACTCTTGACGTCACGAGCGGGCGATACTCATTGCGCTTCTCGCTGGCCGACTTCGAAGCAAGAGGTAGAGAGCTCGTGGTCATGTCATTTCGTTTCCGTACCCCTTTAAAAAGTATTGTGATATCTTACAACGGAGAGAACACACTGGTGCCATCTATCGGGTAGCCGTGGGACACTTGCAGTTGCCGTATAATAATGCGATAGCATTCTTTAGCGGCTTCACCCGGTTTTCACGATACGCTATCTGGCCTCGAATGCGCCGTCTGTATACGCGGAGCCCGTATGTCGAGGCACCACGCGGCGGCGCGGCGCTTCCTCATACGCAGGCGGCGCCCGTACGCGGACATCGTCCTCGACGTCGTCCTAGAGGCTATCCTTGAGGTCGTCCGACAGGTCGTCCTAAACGTCGCCTTTGACGACGTCCTCTAGGACGTCGTCCTGAACGTCGTCCTAGACGTCGTCCCTGAGGTCGTCCTTGAGATCACCCTACAGGTCGTCCTAGAGGTCTTCCTTGCGATCACCCTAGAGGTCGTCCTAGACGTCGTCTTTGACGTCATCCTATAGAACGTCGTCCTAACAAGCAGATAAACCCACGCCGCGCATGCACAGAGCGGCAGTACGCACACATTCACATTCGCGCCCGAGCAACGAAGCAATTATCGATTTGAGTTGATCTAGCTGGTATATGGTCAATGATGGTGGTGAAACAGCTTGAAAATTAGACGATTACGGAAGAAACCGAGCTGGTTTCGAAACGTTGGGTTTCCTTTCGAGATTTGGTTGGAGTTATATTTTTTTCGGACTTTAAACGATGACACGGATGCAGCGATTATACGAATACACAGAGACGAAGCAATCACTCAATTTCGAAGTGGCGCGCTTCAATCGCGCTGACGTCAGTGATTGCGTCGTAAACCATTTATAACATTAAGTGTTTACTCAAAATTTAAAGCGTCATATTTACAGTGAGCTGCGTCGTGAGTATCATCACGAATGCTATCGCAATCAACAGACAACCTGCAATAGTGGTTTCTGCAGCCAATTGTTTTCCTATTTTTTCGCTCATCATTCCTTTTTCTTTATCTTGAAAAGGTTTTGACAATGTTTGTTACAAACGATCATTTCTCATAAATGGAATGTACACTTGTTCTCGCAAATACTGCAAAACCTTCATTCTTCTGAAATGCAGTTCAGAATAAATGGATTCAGGGGCGTCGAAACTAAAGGAGAAAAGAGGGGGGGGGGGTAGTACGCCCCCCCCCCCTTTCCCCCGCCTTACCTGTCCCGGCGCCACTACCAGGTTATATCATAGGTGGCGCCAGAAGAAGAACCGCCACAAAGACAGGGACAGAGAACAAGACGACACTGAGCGGTTATTGTTCTTTCGCTGTACAAACGAGTTAACTTTCCAGTATAGATGGGGCCAGCGTTCCGGTGTGTTCTCTCGTCGTGAGGGGTCCCAAGAACTCGGTCCTATGATACGCACTCGCCTTTCCCGTAGAAATTATTTGAAGTAAATAACAAAAATAAGGCGCTTACGAACGTGTGCAAGATGCCATATGGCCTTTGCTTTAGAACAGATACTATTGCAGACGCCAGCACGAGTGGCGCGTAAACCTACATTCCCAGCGTGCTCCTTGATGCTTGGGTAATTTAGTAACAGGTCCATAGGCTCTAATTCATGTGCACGTGTTCAGGGGCAGTGTCAGGGTGCACGGTTCCCTTCGGTTCTCGCTCTCCGGCCCCTTGCAAGTTCCCGTCGCTTTCTCTTTCGCATGGAGGACGGCCGGTGCCTGACCACGCACTGGAAGGAGCGGTCTACGGGCAGGATTGTGGCCGTGTCCTTTATGCGCCTGTTCCAGCAGCGCGATGCGGCGCGTGCCCGCCAGCTCCTCAGCAATTTTCGACGAGGCTTCAGCCCCAGCTGCAGCAGCCCGCAGGACACCTTTGTTATCGTCCTGCAGAACTCCATGGAGGACACCCGGGAGCTGCGGGCGCTGGTGGAGCTGTTTCCCCAGGTGCCGGTCATGTCCATCAGTGGCGAGTTCCTTAAGGGCGAGGACCTGCTGCTGGCGGAAGAGCCCCTGGCCAGCAGGAAGGTCATCGTCATGGTCCTCAGCCTACTGGCCCCGGGTGCGGAGGCACACGTCATCCTCGACGACGAAATAGAATAAAGCGGAGCGCTCTCATCGAAACTCATCCCTTTTCCAGAAAAACTACTGCGCGTGCACCAAAAGATGCTAGCGCCCCCATCCAGGCTAAAAGGAAATAGGCCTGCGTCCGTTCTTAGCATAGTTATTATAATGCAGTTACAGGTTCAACTAACGTTTGTGTGTTGTGCCAAATAGAAGCAGACGGCAACCAATCTGAAATTGAATTCCGGTAATGGATTCTATATAAAAAAGTGAGCGCATTTTTTCTCTGCTTTGATTATAAAAGAAAATATCACGAATATTTCGTACGTACTAGATAGCTTGGAACTTTTTTTTCTGTTACGAAGACGATAATATTATTTATTTACAGCGTTTTTTTTTTTCTTTTCTCTTCCTAATTGATGACATTAAAATTTTACTAAAATGGCTTCGTACATGTATTTATGTACACTGTCCGACACTTGGAGCGAACACGGCATCTGCGCTCTTCGGCGGGGCGGATTCCATGCCAAGCAAAAAAGAGCATCTCGAAAATCAAAGAGACGTCAATTGTTACGCACTAATCTGGGTCAGTACCTAGCTGTGCATGTAGATGATCAAAACAAAGCAAAACCAACTAATGAGCGCGTTTTATTCACTCTGATGCTCATGTATGCGCAAAAGTAAGTTTTTTTTCAGCGTTCAAAACTCATATCTGCATGCTCCAAACCTTTCAAAATGGAAAACATCCAGAAACCTCTACCATCCCATAAATTTAGCGTAATACGAAAAAGAAAAACCCCTTTGAACTGTGCTTACTTTTACTGCTTTACGCGTTCTAACCGCTCATAAATGGGGGTCATTTTAGTGGCGTACAAATCATGGCCTTCGAAACTTTCGGCGCGCAGGGCTTTTCTTTGCGCGCCAAAGCACAGCAAAGCCGGGCGTCGACGAGTCTCCACAAGTGCCAATTCTGGGGAGAAGGACGCAGTATAGAATTTAAAATGGCAATAACCTGACCTGGTGATAATGATGAATTAGAGGGAACGAAATAAGAGGAAGCAAAAACTGAAGGTTGCTTGTGGCGGCGCCCATGCACAGCTGCTGCAAGACCACTGTATTTCATCGGGTCACCTACAGGGCAAGTCAAAGGGATCAATGGCGGTTTGAAGAGATGGCATAAGTCGGCTTCTCAACGTATCGGGCGAGGATTTTTCAGAGAGGGGGCTGAAGAACGTTCATTAAGGGCATACAATTTAACCGAACAAACCTACATTAAAAAATAGTTAGAAATTAAAAAAAGTTGAAATCCCTACCTACGGCGGCTGTGTGCCAACCAAATGCATCTGATCTGCACAACAGTCAATGGACGTCGGCAGTGGTCTCCGCGTCCACAAGTGAGGGTCGGCAGAGAAGTCGCCGCGAGTATTGCATTTTTCAACGTCAGCTTCGGCGATAATACCGCTGTTGTCGGTGGATTGTTTTGGAGGTTTCCCCCTCCGTTGAGGTGCGCCTCACCCAGCATAGAATTGTAGAGGGGCTCGGAGGTCGCCGCCGAAACTCCGTCCGAAAACATCAGTGGGCATTTTCGCCCTCTGGCACTCCCCGTAGCAGAGAACAGCCTTCACTCGTTTGTTGGGAGCTAAGCGCACCATGAAGATGGCTTACACTCGAGAACAGCACTGATGAAAGTTGCAGAAAAGAGACGCATTAACAGCCAGAGAGTGCGAAGCAGACAACCAAATATACCCAAAAATAATTTTAAAAAGCGAGACACCACATATTTGTGTTATTTTTATCGTATATTATTTTTGGTATTATGGCAAAAGAAAAAAAAAAACCGCATCTCCACGTGGTGACTGATGTTGATTGGGGCGAAGCTCTGGTGGGTGCTTGTCTGCGTAGACGCTGAGCCGCAGCATGCCGAGCCTTTCGTTCGTTTTCATTCATGTCACGCTGCGGTCAAATGCTCAAATGCGCATATTAGCCCCGAGAGCGAACACAAGCGTCGCTGCGGTCGCCGCGCCCTGATTGGGTGAGGTGTACCGTGACGTCAGAGGGAGGACTCCGCTCCGCAATCTCGCATCGGCTCGCTCCCCATGCACCGGTTCCCTGGTTTGGCGTTGTGTACCGCAAGCTCTTCGAGGAGCTGGACTTCGTTTACCCGGCGTACAAGACGTTGAGTTAGGCCGATATCGACGTGCTTCCGTACATTTTGTAAGCCTGCTTGTCCCTTTTACCTTTAAAATTGCGTTACAAATCCCGAAAGCTATCGGCGGAGGCAATTCCGCCGATGAACCTCCCCGTCCGTCCACACAACACAAGGCAATCTTGCGAGGGGTCGGTGAAGCGGTGGCGGAAGTGTTTCAGACGCTGGAATTCTGTTCCTTGCATGTTCATGATTTAGGACGATATTACAGACCGCTTTCAAGGCATTTGAAGTGGCATTTATATCATGGGCCTTTGGGTGGTCGGCAAATTACCTCGCGACCCCGACTCTGCAATGCCACTCTGCATGCGCTGGTTCGCAGACGTTTTAAAGGCCCTGCGTCTGATGATCCTGGAAGTGCTCGTGGAACAGGGTTGTTTTACATAAATGTAGCTTTTTCGTGAATTAATTATATAGTTTATACACGTATGCAGGCATATCTTTTAGAAGATGCACAATTACTGGAAATTAGGTTGTATGGTAGCAGCAAAAACGGCTGAATTGCCCCCAGTTGCCTGTATGATATATGTGTTGAACTGCCCAAAATATGCACAGCAGTAGTGCCGTAATTTGGAATGTTTATACTTTTTCCTGACATTCTTTATTCCAGACTTGGGTATTCGGAAAATACACCGTTTAGTCTGAATTGTCATTTCCAATTAAAAGAGACACTGCTGCAGGTCCCCAAAAGCTTCCTCAGCCTCCAAACTCCCTACAGCTGGGCTCTCTGAGAACAGAGGGAAACAGGAGTAAACGTAAACATTCGAACGGCTGTCCAGTGGTAGGTGCAGCACTATAGTAGCAGAAAATGTGGAACCTGTGAAGGACGACAGTCTGCGTGAGAAAAGCTTCTGGTATTTTAGCTCCAGGACGATTCGATTTAAGTAAAATCTGAATTTTAGGGCTTAAGGGACTAATAACGAGCTAGATACCTTCGCTTACGTTTGTTATGCATTACTTGAGGGTTGATATAAACAAGTTTACAGATATCACCCGTGTAGTCCATTGAAATACTATCCGAATCCAGCAAAGGTCAAATGCGAACAATGTATATAATAAATGTTCTTTTTTTTTTTTTACTTTGCCCCTGCACTTGGGCTGTCTTACTTGTGATTCTCTCCCCATGGCCCAGACTCTATTCAGTATATGTTGCTTGAGCAGCATGCAGCTTTTCTGCTTCGGCGATCTTGTTTAAAAACAGAGACCCCCCCCCCCCCCCCCAAAAAAAAAAAAAATAGTACACCTAACCTGCCAATTCATTCAGACCATCAGCAGCATGTATTGTGCGAGATGTAAATCTATAGTGATGCTCCTGCAATTGTGGCCATATTTCTTCATTTTCATATACCAGCTGCGATTCATGCGTTGCCTGCCCTGTCAACCATGCTTACAATGTTGGTTAAAGTTTCGCCTGTAGCTACAGGCCATACCTCAATAAAGGCACATATAAAAATGTACACTTCCTACGAAAAACACGCCAAAACAAATTAAATAGAAACGAGTGCGCCGACAGTTAGCGTCGTCACAGCCTCCACAGGGCGAGCTAGGCGAGTCGGGGAAAAGTTCTCTCCTCGCCGTGACGTCACTCCGGTTCGCCGTAAGGGGGCGCCACGCGAACTTCTCGGGGCTAATAGCCATGTTCCATACCACACATTCTCCTTCTGACATGGATGAAAAGGAACGAAAGGCTCGGCATGCTGCGGCTCAGCGTCCACGCAGACAAGCACCACCAGAGCTTCGCCAACATCATTCACCACGTAAAGATGCGTTTTTTTTTTTAATCAGTAATTACGCGGACGACTCAAGGCTAGAGCCACAGCTGCTACAGCACGCCCGCCATTTCCGACGCCGAAATGTTTACATTCGCGACCCCCCCCCCCCCCCCCCCCCCCCGAGGAGGCGGAGCTTAGTATAACCTCCTCTCTCACCTTCGCACCTCCTTTCCCATGCGCAGAAGACCAAAATGCGCCTTGCAAGGAGCATAGGTTTCAGTGCCACGGTATTCAGTGACACTAGGCTGATGCGCTTGGGCACCGCGGATGCATCTCAGTGAAAAGGCTGCAAGCTGTCGAAGGACAAGATGTATACGAAATAACCCGTTTCACAGCGAAGCTGTTTATGACTAAGGTTCCGCGGATTTTTTGTGTGCGTGACCAATAACTCTACGCTCGCACCGCCGCACGTTCCGCACGCGCAAGCTTTCCCCGTATAAAGTATTTGAAGTGAATGGCCAAAATAAAGCGTTGACAAACGCGAGTGCAAGATGCCATTTATTTTAGGCTTTTTAATTAGAACAGTTACTGCTGTCATAGCCGGCACGTGCGGCGCGAGGAACACCACTCCCTGTATTCTCCTTGATGCTTGGGTAATTTAGCAATAGGTCTATTTCTCTTCTCTCGTCGTAATAGGGAAGCCAGGTATAGACCCGTTGCTCTCGGGCAGGGGGCGCGAGCACGTCCACAAGACTCGCGAGACGCAACCATGTTATGCTGGCAGCACTATCCAGGCGGCGCTGTAACGTTCAATTTTGCACGTGCCACGTTCGAATGCAAGCATCTGTCCGCATCTGCCGACGCACGATAACAAAACGTCTAAAAAAACTAAATTAAAAAAGAATAAAAAAAAAGAATTATGCAGCTCGTGGACCTCAGCGTCCCATTCAGCTTTATTATTTTATTGAGTTCTTTCATAGCTTCCATGAGCCCTTATGTTTCACTTTACGTAATAGCCAAGCTGAAGCTACTTGGAAAAACATGTTCTCCCGAACGATGCTTGCATGCACGAGAGCGCGTGCTTGGAAGGGACACTGCAAGCTCGGAGCTCGCCCTTGTAG